GTTATAAGTTAATGGTTATTATTTTGTGTTATTTTGCATTATTTTGAGGTGTCTGTATTCACTAGGGTTGGGCAACCACGGAAAAATTTGTTTCTAAACTCGATTCGTTTTTAGGGGGTTTTTGCGTTTCGATTTTTAAAAGAATTCTGAAATTTTCCTTAAAAAAAGTTCAAAATTTACAAAATTTCGGAAATTACGAAACAATTACGAATCGATTACGGACGCGATCGCGCAATACGCTAAAAAAACCTCCAAATGGGACAGGGGGAACTTCTGAAGCTTCCCTCTCCCTCTGTTGTTGACTGTTGGTGTGATAATTATATATTTTTTTCACTGATAAAACAAACAACAACTATAAAACTTGCACCAGACATGCGGAAATAATAACGAAATGATTTCGAACCGATTTCGAAACAATTACGAAACGAATTGAAAAATACGTTTCGTTTTTTAGTTGCTCCTGAATGGTTCAATATCGCTTCGTTATAAAAAAAATAACGAATTAATAACGAATTACAAAATTAACGAATGAAACCGCCCAGCCCTAGTATTCACTTATGGGCATTGGCTGTTTTCCTTTTTTGTGTGTAAACCAGCCTGATTCCCTCGAGGAGAGACAGTGATCTATAAATAAAATTATTATTATTATTATTATTATTATTATTATTATTATTATTATATGATATTTACAAATGGATTTATTATATTTGATTAGTTGTTATTTCTGAATTTTGTACTGGCTGCTGTGAACTTGTATTTTGTTGAAAATTTCAGTTTTTTTGTGTCCTTCTCCCCAGCCCAATCTATACTGTGAGTGCCCACAGAGAAAAAACAGCATGACACAAAATGTGCTTAATACAGTTGTATTAATACATTGCAATGCATGAAGTTGATCCTCACTTTAAACAATGCATGAAAAGGACCTTGTTGCAGTCACGCAAATGTTTGTATTATATTTTCTTTTTCTTTCTTTTCACATTTTTATCACTGCACATCTAAAAACACAGTGGAATTGTATAACAGATAACAAAAGATCCAAGAAACTAAAAACTGTAGCAAACTAAGTAAGCAAATTCCAAAGTGTATTTTCAGGTTCTTCTAGCTAAGCTAAAACTCTTGAAAGACTGGAAACCTAAGACAACAATCAAATAATGGAATGGAAAAAACCCTTCCGTTTCATTAAGTGAATCAAATTGTTGATTATCTAGTTTATCATATTTTAGCTTTTAGGGGTGAGAGGAGATGTTAGCTTAGGTTTCTGCCTAAAGCACCCAACATTTCTGCTCACCTTGGAGAAGGAAGGGTGGAGATGTAGTTATCAATATCAACTTTAACTAATGAAGAAGAAAAAATAAGATGAAAGAATACTCACCATGACATGGGAAACAAGGATTCTTATTAAAGATTAAATAATATCCATCTTGTGTTCCTGGTAAAAGAAGCACAATGAATAACTATTCATGTTCTAGCTTTGGTCTTCACTCATGATTTCAGGAATCAGATAGTTGAAAATGCCTCTCCCACAACCTTTAACACAAAATTGAGTTTCTTCTTTTTTAAAGAGTTTGATTGACAGAAGCAATGTCCACAGTTAAATGTGTGACCGGAGTTTAAAAGTATTTTAATGAAGCTACAAAGGTTGTGATGAGACCCACCATCTTGGAAGTTGCATTGCTTTTCAAGTAGGAGAAAAGGTGAAGGCACCTTTTAAGACAGTAGTCAGCTGTGACACCTGTGTGTCATCTAAAAACAGAGCATGCTTGTTTTAATCAAAAATCTTCATGTTTATCCTAATAAAACGTGTTAATATTTAGCCACCCTACTAAAACATTTACAGTTGATCAACCGAGGTTACGACCTAGAAATAAAATCCATTAATCACTAGCAAGCTTTCTTCTGAGCAGATTGATATATGCTACAAGGTTTGTTTATGAGTGACAGCCTTTTTAACCATGCAAACTCATGAAATGTTGATTTTTACATTAAACTTTCCAAGGACATGGGCTACTTGTAAATATTGTCCTCATATAGGAATTAAATGCAGTTGCTCTTATTGCCTGACAACTTGTTGACGAAGCTAAATAAAAATGTTGTGATCAACATATTCATGTTTCTATGTCCAGGTCACATTCATACTTACTACACAGGGATTGATTACCAAAAAGGTAATCAGTTGTCACAGTTATTTATACAATAAGCTCAATACTCAGAGACCTATACAGGTTGACCATCCCATATCCAAAAATCCATAATGTTCCGAAATCCAAAATTGTCGTCATGGGTGACTGAGATGGTGACAGCTTTGCTTTATGATGGTTCAGTGTATAAAAACATTGTTTTGTGCACAAGACTATTCAAAATATTGTATAAGATTGTCTTCAGGCCATGTGTATATGAAACATAAATGGACTTCATGTTTCAGAGATATCTTATTATGTATGTGTAGACAAATATGGATATTTCAAAATCTGAAAAAAATTCAAAATTCAAAAGCATTGAGGGATATTTAAACTGTATAAACTAGTGCAGTGAACATTTATCTGTGTCGCAGCATCTCATACAGATTAATTGGTTCTAGCCAACCCCATTTAAAGATAGGAACAGGCCTGTAGATGCTCAGATTACTTTAGGACTATCCCAAAGGAAAAACATGAACTTTATTGTCCATTCTCCGAGGCCTTCTTTGCCAAAGAAAGCGGTTTGCCTCCCAGATTTTGCTTATAGAAATTGGGGAAGGCTATGTAAGCTTGAATTCTTCATCTTATGTGGAGGAGATTATATGACCTTAAGGATTTGTTTGTTGGGCCCATGGAGGCATGCCCTGGTGCAGCTTAGGGTTGCAATGCACTACCAGCTCTGAATATGTTGTTGTTTTTGTTGTTTCTGAATATGTTTCTGAAAATGTTGTTGTTTTTTTATCAGTGAAGGTGTGTCTGTAAGATTTCATACCCTCCAACTCTCCTGATTTGTGTAGGACAGTCCCAAGTGAATCTCAGTTTCCCCAATTTTAAACTGTTTTTAAAAATATCTTTCTTCCACTTTGTCTTTTATCCTTATTTTAAAGGATGCAGACTGAGTTCAAAGTGCCAAAGTGCCTTGCATTCAGTTAACTCAAATGAAGGGGTAGAAGAGGAGGCAGTATGGTCTTCCATTTTTCCCTGTAGACACTAACAAAGTCAACAGCTGTAATCTCTCCTAAATTACTTCATTAATGTGTTTTGCCATCTTGCACACCCTTTGATATAGTTTGGCTAGACATTTCCTAGTTTCCACTTGTTAAAAAATGCAGGATATGGTTTTTGTTTGTTTTGTTTTCATAACTTATATTCTGCATCCATATATTGTTTGTGTATATGTTGTCATAGTACATAAATAGCTTTGTTTCATTTTGGTAATCCTAAAATGTAGCTGTCACCTAAGGAGATCACCCCCCTAGATGGTAAGACTAATAAGGGAAGTAGAAGCAGAGTCACTCTTCCAGGCTGCTTGCTGTTGTTATATAAGAAAAGATGTGTCTTTGAAATGCTTTGTACTGTTATCAGCAGAGGAATTCAGATACCATTATAGATCTGAATTGTTGCAAGAACTATTTTCTATCAACAGTGTCTGTCTATAGGAGAAATCCCAAGCCAATTAATGTTTTGGGTTAAGCAAGATGGAAGTGACTTCTTGAAAACATTGAGTATTGTTCAACCAAGATCTTTTGATTCACTTATTTTCTTGGAAGACAGTTAATCACATGTGTGGCTGTCTTCCACCTAATCAGTTTGGCATATCTATCTGTCTGTCTGTCTATCTATCTATCTATCTATCTATCTATCTATCTATCTATCATCTACCTATCTTCCTGTTTAGTGAGTTGCCAATCATGTCTTTTCACCCCTAAAAACGCCATGCAGAAAGGCAAAATGACATATTCAACTTCAGAAATAAGAAGGTTAGCTTATTTCATGTTTTATCCTCAAGTTTTCCAAGTTCTTGATAGTTATGTCTGTTTTCATATTATTAACTATTGTAACAAAATTTAATAGTAAAAGACAAAAATCTTTAATATCCATGTCTACCATTGGGTGTTTACAGCAAAGATGATGCTGAGTTGATAGTTTTTCTTTAGTTAACTTGGATACAAACAATGCTATTGCTGTTGTTTTTAAACACATACATTATAAAGTGACAGAGTTCTTTTTTTCCTCTTCCCCTGAAGGCTAAAAATAGCTCTGTGATATATCAATCCTCTTGCATTGTTTTATTCCGACTACATGGAACAGATGTTAATTACAGTAGTAACGGTTGCCTTTCATGAATACTTTTTCAGGCAATTATGTGAACAGCTTAGGATCCTGGCAAATTAGTTAAAATTATTTTATCATTATGTGCTTGTTTGCATTTGTAAAGGCTAGCAATTAAGTGCCTAAAAATGGCTAGTGACTGAAAACACTTGCCGCTGCAATGATTTTCCCCCATTCTTGGGGTATATGACAAAGATACTATCCATCTCAGAAACATTAGTTGAGAAGCAGCATCACGTGTGCTATCTAAATGGTTAGGTATGCATCAGTAATCAGAATTAATGTAATTATTTTTATGCACCCTGTATCTGTCTCCTGGTGACGTTCATTTTGTTCTACTAGACTTGCTACATGAGCTTTCAGCATCGTGTAGGTTTGAGGGCATTACAGTGCTTGATTCATGTAACAAAACACCATTAGTGTACTTAGATTCCTTAAACCATTTGCTATTCTAATTTCATAATTTAGAGGAATCCAGGACCAGGAGAAAAGAAAGTTACATATGCAGTGTTGATGAAATGTAGGAATTATCTCCATTTTAATGCTCCTTTTTCTCTTGACAGCTTTGCATATATTTACAATTCATAAACAGAATGTGCTTAACACTTTTTTTTGAACCGTAAAATCAGTAATTCCCAACTTTAGAGATGCTTTGCTTTAGCTTTGTGAGATTTCTGCCTTTCCATTGTTTCCTTGACAGCAACAATATAGATGCTGCTATCACCATGGGAATGGTTCTTTTGAATGAAGCTGCTACCTCCAAAGGAGATGTTGGCAAAAGGAGAAGTAAGTTCTTCGATGTGCTGGGTCAAATTATGGCAGTTTTTATGAAGACATTAAAATATACTAAGTCCTACCTAAAAACTCACAGTTTTAAAATGTGTGTTTATTTTTTCTAGGCTATTTGCAAATATATATTATATATTCACCAGCACATATATACACACAGACTTGGGATCCAAAGAGGTTCCCGAAAGGTGGCTCTTGCATTTCAAAAGAAATTATTCAAGTTGGTTGAAAAAGTATTGCTTGCTGGTCCCAGTAAATTATAACAGGATCTCCATTGTACACCAAACTAGTAGCTGTTCTCAAAATAAATTGGAAGAATGTCTGCATGTTGGAGGGACAGGAAAGAAAATGGATTGTGAACCAGGCATGCACTGTAATAGTTTTAATCCTTGCTTCCAGTTGCAATCTTAATCTGCATGACATATAGTTTGCATTGCTTCAAGAAACTTTTTCTTTTCTTCATTGGTTAAAGCTCTTTTGCTGCATCTTACACATACAGAGATTCCTAGTCTGCATGACCCTGACCTACATATTACAGTTTAAAAAGTCATTCACCCAACTCATTGTGCGGATGGTATTTTGTCTAGTTTTAACCCTCTGCTTCGTTGGAACTAACTAAGCTATCACTGCCTTCCTTCATTCAGGGGATAGGATCCGGTTGCTATGAATTTGACAATGTGTGGCAGCAGGCAATTAAGTTGTAGCCTTTTTTTAAAATGAAGCTTCTAAAATAAACCCGAAATAATGTTTTCTGAAACGTATAATTCAAAGTTCATGCATTCCTTTAGCAAAGTCTCGGCACTATGAAATGCTTGCTACATTGGCACCCACAGTTTTCTTTTTCTTTAAACAGCCATTTTCTTGTCATTTACAAAGACAAGGAAAAGCAAACTGTTTGAAATCTTTTTTAAAAATGGATTGTGTTACCTTAGATAATGTAAGAAGAGTGCTTTCAGGTAATTTCATACAGGGACAGTTCTAGTTAATGCCTAGTCATTTCACTGTTCCAGTAGCTTTTCAAATGCTCTCTTTTTTCCTCTTCCTCATACTCTTCTCTTTTGTATCAACTCTTTCCAGTTTAAAGTAAGTTCAAAATATAAAAACAGTTTGTACACAGTTAACTTATCAGAAGGGGAGGACATGAAGGGACAGATTCTTACCAAAGTGGGCTCAAGCAAAAGCAAAATGTTGCAGTCTTTCCTGTCTTGTGTGTGCCTTCTTACTAATAACTTTTACCACTCAAAATAGGAGCCCCCGGTGGTGCAGTGGGTTAAACCCCTGTGCCGGCAGGACTGAAGACCAACAGGTCACAGGTTCGAATCCGGGGAGAGGTGGATGAGCTCCCTCTATCAGCTCCAGCTCCTCATGCGGGGACATGAGAGAAGCCTCGCACAAGGATGTTAAAAACATCAAATCCTCCAGGCGTCCCCTGGGCAACGTCCTTGCAGACGGCCAATTCTCTCACACCAGGAGTCACTCCTGACACGACACAAACAAAAAAACCCACTCAAAATGGCCAGACTCAATTGCTTATTACAACAACAACAATAATAATGACACCAACAACAACAACAACAACACTTTATTTATATTCCTCCCTATCTCCCCTGGGGGACTCGGGGGTGATTCTGACAAACAAAAAGGCAAACATTCAATGCCTTAATAACAATAAATACAAATATAATAATCCAAAATAACCCCAAAATAATGTTTCAGTGAGCTACGCCTCCAGTGACTCCATTCCTCTATGCTAGCCAAAAATTACAACAAGTATAGAAAATCACTTGGTAGCTTTTATTAGACAATCTGCAGAAAAAGACCAAACTGGGAGATAATCCTAAAAATTGTTATCTGTAAGTTACAAGTTTCAAAATAATTTATGATATAATTTTTTCTTTATTAGCGTACAAAGTTCCTAATTGGTTATATAATACTTGTTTTCCTACATAATGTATAAAAATTGATACATTGTCTCATTTACGCAGAACGTGCCTGTCTTGACAACAAAGCTTCAGACCATAATTTGCGTCAAATTGTAATAGCAGAGGGCATGATTATTTCTGTGTAAATGAAGACATTTCATTCACAGGTTATGTTCATGAGGTCTATGGTCACCATATTTTAAACCAAGTAAAGCATGGCGATGTACCCTCTATCGCTATGAAACTATTTTTTATGTGCCCTTTGTTTTAGCTTTAGAGTCCCTGGCCTTGACCTTGATCAGATACATTAAAATGGTGCATTACCATGGAAATGTGCATGTGTGTGCATTGGTGATTTTGGGGGGCAGCATCATAATTTTACTATCTTAACCACATTCTGCTATTGCATAGCCATGCTTGTCCTTCTTTTCATCCCTAAAATGTTCAATTCCGTGATATAAGGCCAGTTTTGTATGAATGAGGAGAAGGCATTTCAATGACACCCAGTGAAATGACAGCCATCAGTTTTGTCACCCAGAATCTGATGGCTGTCATTTCACTTTCAAAAATTGAATGTTTGTGGTGAAGAAAAATAAGTGATTAGAAGTTTTGGCCATTTTGATCACACTCTGATGTTGCTTGTCCACACACACACACACACACACACATATATATATATAGAGAGAGAGAGAGAGAGAGAGAGGTTTTCATCTATTAAATATTGGAGTATATATTATATTACTTTATATTTAGAAAATGTCTGTTTTACCCAGTATCAGAGCTTTTGAGGGAAATCTTAAATATTGTTTGTTTTTGTTTTCCCCTGTAGTAATATGCCTGGTGGGATTGGGTCTCGTTGTTTTCTTCTTCAGCTTCCTGTTGTCCATATTCCGCTCTAAATACCATGGCTATCCATACAGGTAGGTCACAGATATATCTAAGTAATGGTTGTCAACCAGTTACCCTTCCGATGTGTTTAGCAGTGATTTATGAACCCCCTTTTCTTGTATCTGATGAGTTGGTTGGGATGATCACATTCAAATGTATAAAAATGGTACTTTGGTCTTTGAAGTGTATTTCAGTTTGCTCCATTGATATATCAAAGGAAGACAAATATACATTGTGCAGGATGAAATATTAACACCTCCCCCCCTCCACCCCCAGTGTTCCTGCTCTGAACATAGTCAGAGTATCTCTATAGCTATTTTAAGGTGAGGCACTTTAATCAAGTCCCATGTTCCATGGGATTTGGTCAACAATAATTGGATTATAATTTTCAGAATTGCTGGCCCTAATATCGCTGTTAAAGTTGCATAAGGACAAATGATACCTGTATCTCCTAACTGTCTGCAATGGCTTCTGGGGCATATTCTAGACTGCATACTCTGTTCATGCAAGGTCTGCAGCCTGTTGGGCTACTGCTGAATGTCCATCCAATAATGTACCCAGGCTTGTCTGCCATTGCTGTTCTTCCAAGCAAAAACTTCAGACTTCTTGAGAACAAGTTTTGAAAATCACTGATTTTGCTACAGAACATTCTGACTCACATGATCTAGGACCTCACATCTTGGTCATTTCTTTTATATTCCTCACAGCTGAGTTTCCGTTTCCCTTGTCAGTTTACTTCATGTTTAATGCTTCCCTCCCTCAAGGGCACATACAGAACTATACAATAATAGCCGCTGTTAAAAATATTCTTTCTCTATAATTTTTCCACCTCTATCATTTTGTCCTAAGCAATAGCCTTCAACAGGAGTGGAGGCACCTGCCCATATTTGAGGCTCATTTTCAACCAAGCAATTTTGTTTGTCCTCTCTCTAGATAGATAGATAGATAGATAGATAGATAGATAGATAGATAGATAGACACACACACACAAACTCACACACCGTTGGGGGGGGGGGCTCATGGTGCAGTGGGTTAAACCACTGAGCTGCTGAACTTGCTGACCGAAAGGTTGGTGGTTCGAATACGCGAAGCTAGGTGAGCTCCCGTTGTTAAACCCAGTTTCTGCCAACCTAGAAGTTCAAAAACGTGTAAATGTAAGTAGATCAGTAGGTTCCGCCTTAGCCACATGACCTTAGAGGCAACTATGGACAACGCTGGCTCTTTGGTTTAGAAATGGAGATGAGCACCACTCCCCAGAGTCAGACATGACTAGACTTAATGTCATGGGAAACCTTTACATACACACACACACACACATGCACATATGTGGGTGATTTCTATATTGTTTGCCAAGTAACTGGGATGATTTAACTCATACTTAGTTTTCAGTTTAGAAACCTTCAAACAGATGGCAACACAGCCGTTTTTAAAAACTTACACTTACTGGTTGTGCAGTCAATATTTTATAAATATTCTGGCCTTGTTATCTGTTCTGATGCTGCATCAATGTCATCCATTCTTACACCCTTGTTCTTAGGGACTTCTTACCTAACTCTCTGGGGATATTCTAGTCACTGAGCAAAACATTGCTGGATTCATTAAACTTTCCTTGAAAATCCATTTTGTCTCCTGGGGTATTCTTCACAGGCTGTGCTACTGTCTTGCCTGTCTACTTGGCTCCTGTATGTTACACATTCTCCCTCCAGGCATACAAGTAATTCACATTAGTTTTAATGAAATATATATATATGTTCACCAATGACAACAGAAAAAAAACTAAGGTGTCATGTTATTTAAATAATATGTTGATTTTGGAGAGTGGAGACTCCCTTTGGTACTACTAATTGCTTAACCACAATTTAAAGTTATTTATCTTATTCTTTTAGTCCATATCCTGTTCTATCACAAATGTTTGGGTTTTTTTTTTGTTTAATGGGCAATCTTCATGTCTCTTGTGGTTTAGAGGGAAGGTTAAGTAATGTGGCAATATGAACCACGCTGAATTTTCTGTTTTTTAAATAGAGAAGAATCACATGCCCTCTATATATCTCTTCTGCATCCAGAACATTTTACCTATACTGTTCAAGCGAGGGTGAGGACATCCTGTGATTCCAGTGGTTGAGCATTCTATTGTGTAGGAGCTACTTCTGATTCCAAATGGAGAGAGTGAGGACCATTGCCACATAGGATCTTGCCACACTTCTCTGGTAATATCAGAAACAGTGTGCTATGTCTACTAGAGCAGTGCATCTCAAGCTATCTGACATGGGGGAATCAGCAATAATATTTACCTCCAGTGTCTCAGCAACCAGTACCATATTCGTGCCCACTGGCTACTATCATTTCTTTCATTCTAGGAAACTCTGCAAAAACTAGCAGCCAATAGCTCAGGTATTGGCACCAGTCCAGGGTCCACCATTTTGAGTAGCCTTGCAGTCTTTTCCTACCAAGCAAGATTATTTATTTATTTACATATGTCTGTTTCACCCCTTTAACCAGAGATTTCAACGTGAAGTACAATAAAACAAATCCTTTTTTATAATATAAAATTTTATTGTGATATATAAAAAACAGAAACATAACAATCTTCAAACAATCGAAACACAAATATTATTTCCGCAGCCCCACCACCTCCCCATTCCACCACAAATGACTTTCAACACTACGTCATAGGGAACTAGCATCTTAATAAAATTCTATCCTTATCATTACATTAATAAATTCCCAGTGTGGCTATTTCAAAATTTCTTTTTGTCTATTTTTTAAAAAATATCCAAAGGCAAGTCTCCATTTTCTAACACAATCTTCATTGTTTCCTCCCCTTAAGCCATTGGAGAGGTTGGCCATTTGAATATACTCGACTGATTTTCTTCTCCAATCCTTAATGAGTAGTTCTTTTTCCCCCTTCCAAGACTTAGCTATTATAATTCTCACCGCCACAAAACTATATTAGTAAATTTCTAGTAAATCTTCTTTACTGATTCTGTCTCGAAACAAACCCTGTAGGCATCTTTCTGGGGGTTTTCTTGACCTTTTTAGAAATCATTTTATTAGTTTCTTTCATTACCCTTTTCCAGACATTTTTCCCCTTTACATGTCCACCAAACATGGAAGAAGGTGCCTTGCTGCATCTCCAACATTCCTCCTTTTCCCTTAGTCTCTGGTTCAGGAAATAATTACTGTTTTTATTTGACTATCTTTCAGGTTATACTCTAGAATATATTTGTTTAACCTGGAGATCAGTCCTTTATTTTATTTTTCTCCGAGATATTCTCCAACTCTGGTTTTCTTATGGGGACCCAATTTTAATATCTTTCCTAAATATATCCTGTAGTTGATAATACCTAAACCAGTCATTTATACTCAACTCTTTTCTTCCTTTTAAATTCCATTGTTCATTTTCTTCCCTTAGGTATTCCCTATATGTTCTCCATTCCTCATAGGCTGGTTTTAGCACTGCTTCCAGAGGTTGCAGCCATAAAGAGGTTTTTGGCTCCATCCCTTCCTTATATCTTTTCCACATTGGTAGAAGGCTAGCTCTTATCAGATGCCTATTAAAATTTTTGTTAGGGTTATCTTTCCTGTATCATAAAAAGGCAATAAAACCAATCTAACATGCCCTTTGAGTGTCTTATAAGAGAGAGAAAGTAGAATATAAATAAATATAATAATAATGATAACTCATTTAGTATATGTTGCTGTGGCCTTCAAGTCATCTCTGACTTATGGTGACCTTATGGTCAGGTGCATAACATATATGGGCAAGCAGACCTTCAACTATCAAGATTCCAGGCCCTTTAAGTACCTTCAGTTCAGACCAAAGGTAGATTGGCAGCCAGTGCAATTGTTTTAAAGCCAATGTTATATGGATTTTTTTTTTACTGATATACCCATCAGCAGTCTAGCTGCTGCATTTTTCACCAGTTGCAGTTTCCTAGTCATCTTCAAGGACAGCCTCATATAGTTCCAGGGCAGCCCCATTCATTCCACAAATTTGGAAAAGAAAAGAAAGCACCACTTCCTAGCCTTGGCCTATGCCCTAGGCCCTCTCCCTGCATTTGTTTCTTTCAGAACTTCTGCAGTAGGAAACCTAATTGTATGTCACCATTTCTTCCAAGCTTAGAAAAATATCTGAAAACAGACCATTTTTACTTCAAAGACTGCCTTTGTCTTCCTCTGAAGCTGAGAAGAAGTGACTTGCCCAAGGTCACCCAGTGGGTTTCCAAGACTGAGTGTGATTTCAATCCCTGGTTTCCAGTGTAATTGTTCAATGCTTAGACCACTGCACTATGCTGGTTAACGTTGGTTCCTTCCTCATTTATAGCCTTCTATTATATTACCCTTTCAGAGCATCCCAGTGCTACAATAGAAACATTTGTTTGTGGGGGGGGGGGGGGGGGAGAGAGAACATTTGTCTTGGAATTTCTAGATCCTCCAGCACAATTCTATAGAGTTGCACTGAAGAACCTAGAGATTCCTAGATAGAATATTTTAATGCAAATGAGTCAAACCTAGAAATGTGACAGTTCAACTATACTTATGTGCAATGTATACTTCTTCAAACTGTAAGGAAAGGAAGCTGTCTCCTAAGTTCTCTCTATGTAAGCTAAGTATTGGGAATGTAGGTTGTTTTCCCCATCCTTCCTGCACTAGTCCAGATCGCAATGATGTTCCTGCACCATTCCAAATGCTACAACATTCAAATACCACCATTAGAGCCAAATGTTGAACAAATACGCATACAAAGGCAGAACTGGAAAAGACCTCCAAGCTCATCTGATGTAATCCTCTGCTGAATACAGGATTTGTAATGCAGGATACAATTACAGCATCTTTGACAGATGGCTTTTCATCCTGTGCTTAAATACTTCCAACAAACGGGAGTCCATCACCTCCCAAAACAGTCTGTTGGGCAATCCAGATGAACAGTTAGCCTCATTTCAAAGCTCTGTTCGGATAGCTTTTCTCATTAGTGTCTCCTAAAATTTAACTAAAACCAGCTTCCTTGCAATTTTCATCCATTTATTGTAGTCCTACGCTAGTAGATTGGAACCAGCACTTTTAACTGTGCCCAGCAACAGACCACCATCAGTGAAGCTGTTGCCATAACTGAGTTTCCTGTAATCAGCCCTAGTCAGCAGTCTGGACATAATGTTTTGGACTCTCTGAAGTTTCCAAAGGCAGCCTTATGCAGAGCATATTACAGTAGCACAAATGAAATGTGATCAAGGCATGTGTTACTACAGCCGTATCTAACATCTCAAGGAATGAGCACAGATGAGTTCAGGAATATGATTTTAATTTGAGATTTCAGGAGTTGGGTGTAATTCAGTCCAGCACATGCTGAATCCCTGTTACCTGATCTTCTTTCAAATAACCAAAAGCACCTCTTGTTGTCTCAATTAAACTTGAATGTATTCAACCTCATCCAAAACATTGTTTGATGAGGTTGAAAACTGAAAGAACTTCCTTTGGATTATATGGAAAGGAGAAATAGAGTTGTATGTCGTCAGCATACCCATCTTGCCCCAACATTGTGGGTATTCTGTTCCAGCAGTTTCATGTGTATATAAAACAGCAGGTTTTATATACTCAGCACAACTGGAACCCACAAATCAATAACTAGGATCACCCACAGCATCTTCTGAAACAGCTCTACTAGATGATGTATATGCCAACGTTGAAAGAGAAATGTGATTTCTTTGCTGATGCTATTGTCATAGCTAGACTTTCCAATGGGATCTAGGCTATGCTTGATTGTATCCATTCCAGGTTTTCTGTCATCAGTTCTGTCCTCTGCAATGTTAATTTCATCAAATCTAGTGACTCAAGGTGGTCATTTGCCTCCATTTCCTCTTTATTTTTCAAGCACAGAGATTTACCAAAGCTTCAACAGGACCATTTATCAAGTCATAAATAACAAATAAATAAATAAATAAATAAATAAATAAATAAATAACAGGATCATAAATAACCACCAGGAAGCCATTCAAATGTATCACGCTCCTGGGCTCAATCATTCTTTTATTAGTACTAGTAATAGCACAGTGTTGGTCTAATTCCAGACCTAACTACGGAAAAGACATAATTTTGGGTTGTTGTAGGTTTTTTTGAGATATATGGTCATGTTCTAGAGGCATTCTCTCCTGACGTTTCGCCTGCATCTATGGCAAGCATCCTCAGAGGTAGTGAGGATGTTTGCCATAGATGCAGGCGAAACATCAGGAGGGAATGCCTCTAGAACATGGCCATATAGCTCAAAAAAACCTACAACAACCCAGTGATTCCGGCCATGAAAGCCTTCGACAAGACATAATTTTATTTACTTTGGTAGATGACCTATGCAAGGAACTATACAGGGAGAGGGTATCCCTGCTGTATCTCCTGAACCTCTCTGTGGCTTGCAATACCATTGACCATGACATCCTTCTATGACTCTTTGGAAATGCCATTTGGAAATGCCATTTTACAGTGGCTCTATTCTTTCCTGGAGGAGTGCTCTTAGGGGATAGTGCTGGAGAATACTTTAGCCACTGGTCTGTGTTCCTCATGGTCCAGTCTTGTCCCCTATGCTATTTAACATATGCATGAAATGCTGGAAGAAGTTACCCTGAGTTTTGGGATCCCTGTATGAGCCCATTAGAGCTGTAAGAGCTTCTGGAGAGCCTGTTTTCTCTGTCTTTCTTCCCCACCACCTTCTTCGGCTCATTTGGTGGAAAAGAGAGGTCATTCCACAAAGCTTATTGTGTGCTTTCAAATTATTTCCAACTTATAGTGATCATAAGGCCATTGGGTTTTCTTGGCAAGATATGTTTAGGGAGGGGGTTGCTCTTGCCTTCCCCTGAGGCTGAAAAGACATGCTTTGCTCAAGGTCACCCAGTGGGTTTCAATGATTGAGCAGGGATTCAAACCTTAGCCTTCAGAGTCACGGTCCAATGCTCAACTAATACGCTATGCTGGACTCTAGATGCTGGCCTAGATAGGTTTTATTTTGTTAATTTTCTTATATACCTTAAAATTTCTTGAAGCACTGAACAATACTACCTACCTGTTAACTTCAATTAAACAGAGCCTCCAGCTAAGCTTCCGTATGGACAAACCATGTGATCAAATAAAGGGAGAGAAATTGCTTGGAAATTTTATCTCATACTCACAATATATTCCCCCAGCCATATGTCTTGGGGCTGTTCCTTTTACAAGTTTACAGATATGCAAATCACATTGGATGGTCTTGTAAGGGTATCTCACTGGAGCTAAATAGTCTGCTTTTTGTATTCACTTTCTTGGATGTGAATCTCTTCAGGGATAAAAATATGAAGTTTGCCAGGCTTTTCCTGGCATTAATTACACTGTTCTCGGGAGATCTGTTCTCCCTATATACATTTCTCAGCAGGGGATTTTCAAGGACACTAAAGAAGTTTAACCCTTGTTCCAGTGAGTGCCTTCATCTGGAGTATTTTCTGACATCAATGAAAAATTCTAGTGTACTGTGGGGTATAAAAGCGTCCCTCTACCCAACAGATTTATTGGGACAATTCTTGTCTCAGCTGGTTGTTGTCTAAATGTACATGACAGATGGCAGAAACTCAGCAGTACTGTATAAAATAATTCAGGTGATGATTCCTTAAAATGTCTGTCTTATGGGCCTTGCCCTGTGTCAAATCTTCAACAAAATGTAATGCTGAAGAACTAAAAGACCCCATCTTCCTCAGTGAGAGTCATGAATAATTGCTATACTTTCCATCAACTAAAAACTATTATCGCAGTTGTTACTATGTTTGAATCACAGGATCACTTGTGTGAATAACTTACCTGTGAAGTTAGTCCAGATAGCTTCACAGATTCATTCTCGGTGGAGAGAAAGGGGGACACCATCAATACTAACTTCTGAGCTTAGTATCCTCTGCATTAGCCATGCTGGTCAGGACAATGGAAGTTGCCGACCAACACATCCAGAAGATACAAGGCTGGCTAAAACTGATCTACACTAGCACTTCCCAGGATATCTGCTATGATGGGACAGTGATTCCCCCTCATCCCAAAGTTTCTTTCTTGAAAACTTATCAGGGTCAAACAGCCAAATAGATTTTATAAGGCCCATTCTACACTGCCATGTAAAATCCGGATTATCTGCTTTGAAGTGGATTATATGGCAGTGGAGACTCATGTAATCTGGTTCAAATAATCTGGATTATATGGCAGTGTAGATTGGGCTTCACAGCTCAGGACTGATCTAGTGACCAGCACATTGAGTATCACTGATAATAAGACTGTCTCTGAGTTGCACTCATTCAAATTTTTTGATATAAATACCATTGACTTGGAACAACCTTCCATCTTCTCTATACGCCTTATGGAAAGCAGTGTGACATGTTTCTGAATACAATTGTGATACTAATTTCAAATATTATTTCTAGTTTTGTTAGGGATGTTTTGTTTTATAGTTGTTTACTGAAACCAGGTCATCTCCTCTCCTTGAGTCATACATGCCAGTCATAAATATGGTAGGTTTAATGTGCCTGTGAAAGTAGAAGGGAACTGCCAACTAAGATGATCTCCTCCGTGTTCTTTTTATGGTTTAATACCAAATATTTGTATATTATATATTCCTCAGCAAAGAATTGTACATTGCATATTTTTCCATTTGATTCTAATGTACTAATGGGTATTCTTCACTCAAGGGCTTGCAAATCTCAATTTTTGGAAAACAGAAGGAAAGCGAAAACTACATGTGTGCCTTTTTCCAGCATTTAATCATATTTTTTCTTTCTTTACAGCTTCTTAATTAAATGAATTCAAGTGAGATTAGCAGAAGGCTAATGTTTACTAGGAAGATAAGCAGCTCCTGATAGTATCTGCTTACCAACATTACATTTCTTCAAGAAACTTTGCACTTGGTTCATCTGCTTCCTGTGATAAATTACAGCATTTGTGTGGAGGACAATATTGTGTTTGTACCTTATTAGCAAGTGATTCATCTAATTTATAATGCATAGTAAATATTGGATATCTTAGTGAAAGATATAGTAAATAGAAATGGGACTATGATATGCTTGGTGACCCTGAATACAAATAAAGTTAACTTTATTGGAGAAGTCAGAGGGGGGTTGTTCTGGTTGCTGTTTGTCTTCTTGTAATTCTGTTGCAGCTGTGTAGATTGTAGTTGGGGGAAAAGTCAAAAAACATTTGAGATTTTGAAACTATACTCCTGTGGCATAAAGTAATGTAAAATATATTAGTATTAAACCAGCTCTACCTAATAAAGAAGACAAAGTCCACACATCCGTTGGAGACTACAAAGTCCTTTATTAGCATGCATGGCACACGAGAAAAAAAGCGTCTTTTTTTTCAATTGCCATTTTAAGACTCAAGGGTGCTGCATTTTTAACATTGCAAAAAAGGGGGGGAAGGGCCGGACTTGTTCAGGAATATTTTAAATAGAAAACAAGCACCCAACAATTCTTGAGTATTGCTGACCTCCCTTCAAGCAATTCTAAGGTTATTTCAAGGAGAATTCCTAATTTCCTCCTTCCATCTTATTCTAATATGTTACATAAGAGTAAACACTCTCTGAAGTAATATTTGAAGTATTAGAAGATGAAATAACAAAGGTTGCAATGCACTAAATGTGTAATCATTCTTGCTTTTAAATATATCCTAAAATGCTTTGGGGTTTTCACTTATGTATAAGGTGATAGAGAGGAGTCATATTCTTCAAGAATGACTAAATTTTGCATGAGAAACACAACTTTAATGCTGAGGAAGCAATTACCAAAAATAATCTGATGGTTGGAGGCACCTCTCCTTGCCCAAAAATTCTCTCCTGGATGTTCCCAGTTCTCTTTGGAGCTTGTGCCAAACTCTTTTATGATGTATGTTGTATGGTGTTAATTTTGTAATCTGTATCAATGGGAAAGAAATTATATGGGGAATTAGCAGTCCAGAGGTCAAGAAGCTGAGGAGTCAGTCAGTAGGTGGGGAAACCAAGATAGGCAAAGGACTGAACAAAATAAATAAATAAATAAAATTTTATTTATATACCGCTCTATCTCCCCAGGGGGGACTCAGAGCGGTTTCCAAATAACATCATCAATACATACAAAGTAAACAACATAACCATAAGATTAATGAAACAATATAAGCATAAATTGTTGCCATAACACATATATATTAAAAGTAATCCTGCCTGTTCAAGGCAATTTAAAAGGCTGGGCCGAGATTAGTGCAAGCTCAAAAAATCTAGGAGGCCTGGGAATTAAGTGCAGTGCTATAACAGGGTCTATGGCTGATTCATTTCCAGGGCTTATAAGAGGAAGTGACCTGGGTAATTTATAGGAAAAATAAGGCCCATATTCAACAATGTCTTGGGTTGAGCTAGAACTAATCATTCTCAAAGGTTTGTTGAAACCACCAGGTCTTCAAGCTCTGTGTTGTTCAGCCACCATCCCCCTTTTCACCTGTTTCCTGGAAGAAAGCTTTGTTGATAGTGTTGGCAACAGAATTCATACCCACTTTGGGGGCATCTGGCTGAGCCCTGTACTAAAGTGGCAGGGGTGTCATGCCCCACCTCTTGATAATTTATCTAAGGATGAAGCAAATTCATCCAAGTCTTCAATCTTCCTGGGGGTTTGATTGTACTACTTCTACTTTCCTCCTACTGAGAATCCTATTGCTATGAAGAAGAACTTGACTGACCTCAGACTGAATGGAAGGAGGACTGGAATGCTTATCGGGTATTTGTTCAGTTGGGTCTGCTTCATCCTCGAACAATAAACTCTCAAGGCATGACAAGGGGAACCTCACAGTGGCATACTTTCATGAGGAATGCCATATTTATCATCCCAGATGGATGCCTGATAACTGGATCGGGCTACATGCCTCAACTGGAAGACAATTTACTCAATTCTCACAGATCCTCCAAGCCTCCTTGCAGATATACAATAACATTGTGGCCCATTTATTACAATCCAATAGGTCTTGTGTGTTCACTCTTACACAGAGCTGAGGCTACTAGTGCTTTTGCTCCTATATTCCTATTAAAATTGGATTTGAAGGCATATATTTACCCAGAGAGGATTTAATTCAGCTCCTCATGTCCAGTGAGCATTATAGTTAATTTACACCTCAACTGTCCTTAGTTCACTGACCAATTCAATCTCATATATTGTAATGTGAATAAGAAATGCCTCCTTTGTGTCTACCTGAGTTCTCAGATTAGGATGACATGGAATAATGACCCAGATTCCAGTGCACTTACACCTAAAACACACTTTAATTGCAAGTGACCTTAAGACCAAATAATTCATGTTAAATAAACAGATGACTCACAAATATATCTGTTTACATTGGGCAGACTGAAAATATTTGAATACTCTGTGAGCTGCATGTCAAACCTGTATGTTTTAACAGATTCTGCCACCCAGGAAAAAAAAAAACCTCAAAGATACTGCACAATTTGTCTTAATACCGTATTTACTCTGTACATATAATTCAGGCTTATTCTGAAGTAAACATCACCAAACTCCTCAGAGCTGAATGCAAAGAGAAAATGTTTTGAGCTGCAGAATGTAAAAAACTAAAGGTAACCTTTAACAAAATTTAAACTGCAGGACTTCTTCATAGATTAAGGATTGAAGAATATATACTCACTTTATCACAGAGAGAATCCAAACGAAGGTTAAAGTTATGCTAACTGTGCCTAATAGTATGCTGGTGTTTCCACATTTAAATTCTCTTTTCACGTGACACAAGCAATGATCTGGAATAACAAGCGGCTATGCACATCGCTTCTACCAGCAGGTTTTTCTTAGTGCTATAAAAAGAAACAAATTAAAGCTTTCTGGCTGCCTGTGTTTCTTTTGTGTTGTGTGTATTCCAGACTTTTGGTTAGTGTTACTGTTCCCCCATCCCCATTCATAACGTATATTTTCTTAATCAAATTCCTCTTATGGCATTCTGTTGGCCGCAGGTTGACCATATTTACTGACCCACGCATTCTGTTTATACTAAGAATCCAAATGCTTCACTATTCTCAAATTACGAGGGGTATTTTTGAGTAAGGTCCGTTGGAACATAAGTACACAACGAAAGTTTATTTCAAAAAAGTAAATTTATTTTCAGAAAGTACATACTTCACTCTATTTTTCGACATAGTTGCCAAGTTTGTTCAAACACTTATCATACCTCTGAACCAATTTTAAAATACCCTCTCCATAAAAAACTTGCGGCCTGCTCCGATAACCAAATTGTCTGTAATCAAAGAAGGGCGACTGGAGCGGTCCTCATCATGGACGTTGTCACAGCCATCTTTGAATTGTCGTACACACTTACGCACTTTGCTTTCACTCATAACAGTACCACCGTACATTTCAAAATCTGTCGATGAATTGAGAGCCTTTTGGCGAACAATACATAGAGAAATAGAGAAAATTCTGAAAAAGAAATTCCCCTTAAAACCCGAATACTATCTCTTGGGTATAACGGACCGTGAGTTTGACACAAATAGTAATGAAAGTAAGACTTTTTTCCACCTTTCGACAGCGGCCAGAATCCAACTGGCACGGCTCTGGAAATCCGGAGAGGTCCCTACAACAGAACAATGGACTCTAAAAGTATATGATGTGATGAATATGGACCTTCTAACACAAAGACTAAGAGTCAATGGAGATAAAAAGAAGAACACAGACGGGGGCAACTTTTTGGAATATCTTGAAAAGAAGAAATAAAAATCCACTAAGATATAGCGAGACCGAGACCAACACAGGAAGAAAGCTGTTGTATTATTAGTCATTAGTAATGTACAAAAGAAACAATTACCTGTCTGTTCAACCTGGAAGTCATGATATTTTTATTCCCTTCCCCCCTCACCTCTTTTCGCCTCCCTTTCCCCATACCTAATTCCACTTTACCCCAATTGTACACTATACCCAGTTCCCAACCCGACCTTCCCGCCCAGTTACCTACTCTCTTTCACCACCAACCCATTCTATCTTACCCTTTGTTTTTATTATATGTGTATTGAAAATTTTGCAATAAAGATAATTAAAAAAATCTGTCGATGAATTTCTGCAGCAGGCAGGTTCCTTGCTGACAAAAACCGTATCACTGAGTGAACCCCACATGCGGAGAGTGAGTTGATAATCTTAAACATTTTTAATGCACAGAACAGAACCGTACAAGTTAGCTACAGAGCGGAAACTGAGCACAGTTGTTCCCGAGGCATGCCGGTACACGACGCACGCGCTCGTTGCGGTATGCGCGCGAACTACTAGTGTCTACAACAAAATGGACCTTACTTAAAAAATACCCCTCGTATTTTTCTTTCTTAAATCTTCATACTTTTCAAATAGGTACGGTTAGAACACATATGCCTATGATATTGACTCACCCTTTCTTTCCAGGGAAGGGAGGAGGAGAAGGAATATCTTCTGAAGGCAGGCATGAAGTAATTCCACTGAAGTCAATGGGGCTCCCTCCCTGTATTGTGGGGCTTGAGCAGAAGACAGGAAGGCATCTTTTTCTCAGCCCCAAATCAATAATTTTTTTGCAATCCTTCCACACTGAATTCTCTTTCAGGCTTTTGGAGAGCAGACATAACGGCACTTCGGATGGGGAACTGGACTGGAATGGTTATATGGCTGATAATAATGTTTTAATTGTTTTTAATTAATGTTCTATCTATTGTTTTAAATTGCTGTTATATTGTTGTATCTATTATATGTTGTGGCATCAAATTGTTGCCGAGTGTAAGCCATCCTGAGTCCCCTTCCAGGGGTTGAGAACGACGGAGTAGAAATGCTGGAAATAAATTTCCATACCTCCCACCTCCACACGCCTCAAAATGTGAAGCTGAAGTCTCACATTTATTTGCCTGAGGAAAAAACCCCACTGAATTTAAACCACATGTGTTCTGTGTAGTGCTGCTGCTGTTGTGCTCTGGGTAGACATGTATTGACTTATTTCTTATAGGAAAAAGAGACCATTTTTTCTGTCCTAGTTAATTTTTTTTGCAGTTTCTCCCAAGGGGGGAACTTACTAAGTTGTTGTCTCATCAAGGATTACATGGAAATTGCAACCCCTATCCATATCAACCTGACATCAGTATGTCCTACTGACTCTAAGACACTTAGAGTGAGACCAGTTTGCAACCCAGATACGTTTATGTGTCTTCCTTGCGGAAAAGTCCAATTGAATGTAGTGAGGCTTACTTATCAGAATTCCTGGCATTCTACTGGATAAAACTTCAAAATGCTAGGGGTTGTCAAACAACAGACATTTAAAAA